TGCACAATAGAGAAGATGCAGGTGTAGGCAGAGGAGCAACAGGGCTCTTCCAGATGGTGCATTTCCATCTGCAGAGCAGCAGAACCCCTCCCCTGCTCCATCATCCCATGTGCCAGACATAGCCAGCTCATGTCTAGGGAAAGGAAGGACAGGACCATGCTGCACATGTGCTCAGCATGGAACCATCCATAAGAACACACAAAACCAGAGCCATCTATGTGAATCTCACTTTCTGCATGCAAGGCCTGGCAGAGAAGTTGTATTCCTTTATAATCCTGGATTCCCTTGTGTTGTTGCAAAACACACATATGCATGACAAAAAAGAAATTCAACTGATTTGTCTGCAAGATATTGCCTCTGTACACTGCAAGGTGACCCCATGTCTTTAGATCAAGGGGTTTATTTAAGAAAATATCCCTTTTTTGGCTGTCTTTATATCCTCCAATAAAATATGTCACACTATCAGATTTCTTCCTCCTGTTCGCCTTTCCATACCAAATAGTTCTGCTCTTTTTAAAGTTGTCCACATGCGGTTTCTCCTCCCTAGGCACTGGGTAATTTCTATTGCTGTACTATGGACCTTTTTTCTCATACAACTGCCTCTTTTAATCTCTCCTCCAGTGAGATGCAGTTATCTGCCAAGAGGTTTTCAGGAGGAGGAAAAAGATTTTCCACGTCTTTCATTGTATCAAGTTGGGACTGTCGAAGAGCTGCCTTCTCCCCTAGTATCTGCACCCCCTTATTAAACAGGCTGCCTTCATCAGACTGTGATGAGCATCAGTGCTCATCACAGCCAGCCTTGACCTGATGCTCTTCTGAAAGAGGAAGAATGCCCGAGGCTTGTAATTGCTCCTCTGCTTTGCATCATCTCTGTAAGGAACCATGGGAAAGCACATCTGACAACTACAAGGAATGAAGAAGGGAAGTGCAGACCCCAAGGAATCAAGCTACTGAAGGGCAGACAGCGTCAGCACTCGGCCTTTAATGTATAAAACTTCTCCGAGTTCAAAAAAGGTTGGAGAGAAAAAAAGGAGGGGGAAGAGAGCAGGAAGCAGACAGGAGAAAATTCCTCATTGAATTGTAAAGTGGTCCACCAAAATGTGGGCTCTGGGTTACTCAAGTATCACTGGTGAGCAGCTATGGAAAATGTCAGGTAGGAATCATATGACAAGGGCATAGGCAAAAGTCAACAGACAGAAGGCTCTCACCAGCCATCTGCAGGCCTGGACTCAGAAAAAAGACCACAAGCGGGATGCTCTTGGGGCTAATTAAGGGAGCAGTTCTGCACAAGGCAGATGCCAATCTTCTTGACTGACAGCCAGAAGCAGGAGGAAGATCATATTGCAAGAAACCAATCTGAACAATTACAGAGAGAGTGAGATGGGCAGAGAGAAAAATTAAGTTCCCCAGCAAACACAGAGCAAGAGGCTCCTCTTCCTGCTGGAGGGCTCAGGCTGTGCCTCCATGGGAGGTCAGGCAGCACTGTCCTCAGATGCACGGCACGGCACGGCACAGACTGAAGAGGTCACCCTAGGTTTTGTCTAATCCCAAACTCCCTTGCTATCCACGGCTTATGGGGGGGGGGGGGGGGGGGGCTGTGTAAGGGACAGCTGCTCTGACCCACTTGCGCCAAATCCAAAGCCTACTAAATCCCTGGAGAGATCCCCACTGGCTTTCCCGGTATTTCAGTCAGTATGTGGACACAAGTGGTAAGAATGAATGGGGCCCAGCAGCACATACATCATCTAAAATTAATGGTATACATGCCAGCTGACAATGATAGAATCACAGACAGGTTTGGGTTGGAAGGGACCTTAAAGCTCATCCAGTTCCAACCCCCTGCCACAGGCAGGGACACCTTCCAATAGACCAGGTTGCTCTGTCTGACTGAATCTGACTCAGCAGACTGAAGTGTCATACGCAGTCAAGTAAAGCCGCTATAAGGAAGTATATGCTTTGTTTGGGCTCCTCCTAAAGGCAGATTGGACTTGTGCAAAGCATTTGACACTGTCCCACATAATATCCTTGTCTCTAAATTGGAGCGACATCAATTTGATGGATGGACCACTCAATGGATAAAGAACTGGCTGGATGGCCGCACACAAAGAGTTGTGGTCAATGGCTCAATGTCCAGCTGGAGACCAGTAACGAGTGGTGTCCCTCAGGGATCGGTGTTGGGACCGGTCTTGTTCAACATCTTCATCACTGACATGGACAGTGGGATTGAGTGCACCCTCAGCAAGTTTGCCGATGACACCAAGCTGTGTGGTTCGGTTGATACACTGGAGGGAAGGAATGCCATCCAGAGGGACCTTGACACGCTTGTGAGGTGGGCTGATGCCAACTTCATAAAGTTTAACCATGACAAGTGCAAGGTCCTACACCTGGGTCGGAGCAATCCCAGGCACAGCTACAGGTTGGGCAGAGAAGAGATTCAGAGCAGCCCTGAGGAGAAGGACTTGGGGGTGTTGGTTGATGAGAAAATTAACATGAGCAGGCAGTGTGCGCTTTCAGCCCAGAAAACCAACTGTATCCTGGGCTGCATCAAAAGGAGCGTGACCAGCAGGTTGAAGGAGGTAATCCTGCCCCTCTACTCTGCTCTTGTGAGACCTCACTTGGAGTATTGTGTGCAGTTCTGGTGTCCTCAACATAAAAAGGACATGGAACTGTTGGAACAAGTCCAGAGGAGGGCCACGAGGATGATCAGGGAGCTGGAGCACCTCCCATATGAAGACAGGCTGAGGAAGTTGGGGCTGTTCAGCCTGGAGAAGAGAAGGCTGCATGGAGACCTCATAGCAGCCTTCCAGTATCTGAAGGGGGCCTATAAGGGATGGTGGGGAGGGACTCTTCATTAGGGACTGTAGTGAGAGGACAAGGGGTAACGGGTTAAAACTTAAGCAGGGGAAGTTTAGATTGGATATAAGGAGGAAATTCTTTCTTGTTAGGGTGGTGAGGCACTGGAATGGGTTGCCCAGGGAAGCTGTGAATGCTCCATCCCTGGCAGTGTTCAAGGCCAGGTTGGACGAGGCCTTGGGTGATATGGTTTCGTGGGAGGTGTCCCTGCCCATAGCAGGGGGTTTGGAACTACATGATCTTAAGGTCATTTCCAACCCTAATTATTCCATGATTCTATGTGCAGTCAAACAGTTTCTGTGGCAAAAGTCTAGGACTGATGAGGCAAGATAGAAATGGGGTGGCAGCAGATTTCACCTCTGCAGGGAATTAAGGGGTCTTCAGTCTCACAGTCACCTCTTCTTCTCTCCCAACTTCATTTCTCCCCTATCTCCTGGCTGGTAACTCAAAGGACCTAGAAAATGGTAGTAGGATGCCAGGCAGAGCCTCATCCCATTTGCACAGAGCAGGAACTTCCCACATTTCTGTGCATATCCTCAACCCACAGTGGCTGCCCCACTGCACACAGTCCAGCTGCCCATCTGATAAAACAAAAACCCAGGCTCTCATACAGTTTTTCCAGAATAAAACTGACATTCCCACCTAGAGTGCCTTTGGGCAGTTTAAAAGCAACTGAGTCATTTGATAAGAATGGACACTAATCTGATAGAAATACACAAGGCTGGCACACGAAAACAAACTACTTAAATGAAATCCTATTGGCTATGAGAAACCACAAGGAAGGTGCATGAGCACTGCGGCCACAAGATAGGCTCAAAACATGTTACCGCTCAGATTTCTTCACTATTGTTTTTTTTTACTTCAGTGTGCTGGGCTGTAAAGCTTAGACCAAACTCCACCTCCTGATGAAATACTTAAAAGCTGCCTATGCTGTTTTCTTTCCAGAGCTCTTGTGTCAGCACACAAGCAGGGGCTGACCGGGGATGTTCTTCAGTGTTTTGTTTACAACAGGCAGACAAAACCCCACTGCAGAACAGTTTACAAAGACCACAGACAACTAATTAGATCCATTATCTGAAATTTAAGAAATTCTTGCTCTTGATAGACAAGAACAATGGGTTTGTATTACTTGTGACCTGAAAGCATTAGTTAATACATTATTGTGTCCTTCCTTGCTAGAAGTCAGGGCTGAATTACAGGCTGATCTGGAGTTCCCGAACTTTGACTCTAACAGAAGAAACGGTGAGTGGGAAGACAGTATCTTAAATGCTCAGAAAAAAAAAAGTGAAAATTGTATTTTCACTGCTAGGGAACTTCCACTGTTTTGTTTATATATGTCTTCAGTTACAGCACTGGCTGCCTCCATTCAGGTAAAATTCCCAAAGGAGATTGATGGGATTTGATAGAAAAGAAATTAACCTAGCATCAAAGGGTATAACGCTCATAATCCACCTCTTAGTGCAGAGTTGAGCCAGGAAGTTAAGGATAAGGCTTTGACAAGATGTCTACTGTTCTCCCGCTAGATCCTTACAGTAAGCCACCAGCTTAGACAGAGAAAAGCATCAAGATGCTGCTATATTGGAGCCATCATTATTTCATCAATGTAGTGAATAATACGCTACTTATATGGCTCTGAAGACTCCAAATGAGGGAAAGGAGTTTATGAAGACAAAGAAAGAGGATGTAATTTGGAAAAACATATACTGAGAAAGGAATGGGTGTTATTATGTCAGGACACAGAGCAGGGTGGATGTAGCAAATACAAATCCAGGAAAAAAAAAATACTGCCTTCTGAAAGAATAAAACAAGAGATTTTTTAATTTTTTTTGGGGGGGGAGGGGGGGGAGGGGTGTTTTGTTTATTTTGTTTTTTCTTTTTGTACCTTTATTCAATTTCAAAGTCTCCATTACAGATTCTTCTGTCTTCAGACAGATGGACAGAAAGATACATATTTTGGTTCTGTTCTAGAAAGTTCTATAACCTGAGATCTCTTATTCACAATGGATTTTTTTTTCCTCTCGTTTCCCAAGGCATCTTTGAGATGGGTATCAATAAATATCAGACAGTAACCAGCTAAACAGTCTGTTACCTACTTCGTTCATCAGTTGGTGAAAAATATGAACAAACTACATACAACAGTGCCAGCAGAAGAAAATATCATTTATTTCACTGTGACAGATAAATGTGCACTGCTAAATGTAGATTTTACAGAGCTTTTGGTTTCTGAGTTCATACGACTCATTTCCATTGCTTCTCAGTGGCTCTTTCTCATCTCCCATGTCATTGTCTTTCATCTGTGGAAAATAGGCAGGAGAAGCTTTGCATTCATAGTGCCTGTCAAGAGACTTCAGGTGGATCAACATATGAAGAGTGTAGGCAAGAACCAGCAGCAGAATGAGCGACATAACCAATCCCATAAGTATTGCTGGAGAGAAAAAGGACGCACAGTCTTTTGCATAGCCAAAGTGTCCTTCTTGAATGTTAAAACCTTGAATCTACAAAGAGATCAAAAGGGCTCATGTTAAATAAAATAATTGCATCTTAGCTACAAACAAATTTATAGATTTGCTTCTGATGGCAGTAAGAATTTTTAATTTAACACCTGCATATTGCAAAATTGTATTAGTGCCAGCTGGAGTTAACGTTCAGTTTATCCAGGTAAGTCTTCTAGAAACTGCCAGCTATTCTAATCTCCATCACTCTGCAGCCCAAAGGATTTGCACCTGTGTTTTCAACAAAGTCTTCAATGATCACTCTTAATAGTCCTGTAATACTTAATTCTAAGTGTAGTAACTCTCAAGTTAATGGGTTCATATCCAGCATCATTTGTTGAGACTTTCCAGAGTCTCTGTTTCAAACGGCATAAAATCCAGTGTGGCAAACAAAAATATTTTCAATTGCCTATCCTAATACTGTATTTTTCTCACCAGATCCAAGTGTACGGTATATGTTAGCAAACCAGCTAAACCACAGGAAGTTGCACTCAACTTATGGCTAATACCAGTAAGTCTGCCTTGCGGCTTCAGTTCTAATATGAAGTTTACCACATTGGCATTCAGGGAATTGATTGACCACTCCACTAAATCAGTCCATGGGCATATATCACATGGTGAAGAAAGGGGATCACCTTTCCCCCTCAATCCTCTTCTCAGCTCTTCATGCCCTGTTACTTAGGTATCTAAAAGCAACACATCCCAGTCCAGTCATCTCAGGCTCCCTTACTGTCAAACACAGAAAAAAAGGCACTTTCAGAAGATGATTAACCTCATCCTAAAATAAGGACTTAAGATGAGTCAGAGGAATTATCCACAGGCTTAAAGGCAGGTTGAGGTGACTATAATCAGGGCACAAGGTTAAAATCACTAGGCATCGAAGGCTAAGTGAAATGAGCCCCATACCTGGTGACTTATGCTGTTATTGATGCTGGGTTTAAGAGCCCAGTTCAGAGAGATAGAACACCAAAAGTTAAATTCACTCCCCACACCAAGGGGAAATCCAGGCAAAAGACTAGAGTATCTATAAAGCCCTTCTTTTCCTTTGATAGGAAGGTTAGGTATAATAATTGAAGTCTTCATTTATATTTCAAGTTCCATGGAGATCCTGTAAGCTGTATGGAAGGTCATCATTTTTTCTTGGCAGAAAATTTCCCACCAATCTACCTATGGGATCCACTTGGCTTATTTCCATTACCTGGAAATCAATAAAAGTGACTTCCCAAAGCTTTGAAAGATCATTTGCAGAGCTGGGTATGAGAAGTGCATCGTATCTCTGCAAGCTGCTCACATGTTCACAGTGGTAGGAGTAACTTGCTGGTGCGCATATTCTAGTTGCATTAAACGTCGCTTGTATGGAATGGTTGTAAAGAAGCTGCAGTCTGTGTAAGCTGAACAGGTTCTGAACAGACAGCTGGTAATAGCTGGTTGTTAATAAGAATCTGAAATATTGTATAGGAAGAAAAATGAGAAGTCTGACTAACAGTTGCACTATCAAATTCACAAATTGAACAACCTTATTAGACTGTGTATATATATATTTCATGTATATATATGTATAAATGTATCACTATAAAGCTCTAGCTCCTTCTATTGAGTGTGGAAAGTGATTTGAGGTTCTTGCTTGGGCAGCTGAAAGAGTTACTTAGCTGCTTTCCCTCACAGTGAGAAGAAATATGAAGTTTCTATCACGTTATTTTGCTTACACAAGTTCTGAAACAAACTCCTTGAGCAACTGCATAACAATGCACATTAACATGTGATTATCTAATATTTTCTTTATCATATAAACTTACCGAATAACAAGTCCCTTTAGATTGCCAATGTCACCAAAGTTCAGAGAAAGCCTAGGTCAAAAAACAAGTATCGTGAGGCTAGATAAAAACTTCAGAGATCTTGAAAGCAGCACAAAAGGTGAAGCATAGTTACAGATGGAGCCTTTCGCTCAGTATACTTTTTAAGTCAATGAGAGAAAAACTGAAAGGATTAAATCTTCCACCTGTGAATTCCAGTAGTTCACCTTTTGATGTGAATGAGGCCTAGACTATCCAGAAAGAACAGAACTGCATGTTCAGCTTTCAACACAACTCGATCCTGCTGCTTCCAGCATTGGCTAACAATTAGGTTCATTTGATCTGGTTCTCTTTCTCAAGCCATGGCATTTATCTCAAATCATGCATCACCTCTGCATATCACTAGAAACTGTTAAGAGGCACATTATTCTCATCTTTTTAAATAACAGAGCACGAAAAAATGCAGATGACATTCGATTTCAGATTTCACAGATGCGCATCACTAGAGCCCTTTCTACAGAAACATCTTTAGATGCAGGGGCGAAATGCTGTATAGGAGCTAAAGGAAACTGCTGGGTTTGGTCATGTTATTTTTACTGTTGTGTGTCATTACATATTTAAACATGTTTATGGAGTAGACCCAACGCTCATGTTCAGCACATGCCCAGAGGTACCCACTTTCTAATTTTTAGAGTCTTACCTACCAGAATGCAATCAATGACATGGTATTACACATGAAGCCAGCCAGCACGCTATGTGGAGGGAGAGAAGTTGTCAGGTACATGACAAAGGAAATAAAAATAAGTACATGACTTTCTATTATAGCCATGGGATTGGAGAATTTTGAATCCAGTTAGGTTAATACATAGCTCTCCCTCAGGCTTAGCATGAGCAAAGCTGCTAAATGCTGCTCATCCTGAAGAAAATCATAACAGACTACGCTGCAGAGTTCAGAGGTTTGAAGACTCTTCAGGTCACATGCAAACCTCTAGTGAATTGACTCTTTGGCTTCAGCAGCTCTTGGCACTACTGATACATGGGGCCACCTGTTTCTAAATACACATCTGTGTCTTGTACCAATGGTTTACATTACTGCTGGCATACATCCTGTGAGGAGATAAGTAGTCACGTGCAGCCAGACCCTAAGACCCCATATTCAGCATCAGATCCGTCACTCCATCTCCTAAGCACCTATGTAAACCAGCCAGTAACAGCAAAAATGATTTGTGAAAAGAACTGACTGTAAGAGATGAAGGCAACTATGTGTGTCTGCGTGTCCCATGAAAGACTGGTCTGAGAATATATAACCCATGCTGCCCTGCTGCCCGCAATGTCAGGACATTGTAGGAAGGAGCTTGCCCATGGGGCTCTATGCCATATAATACAATGTCTGTTAACCTTCAGTATGTATTTACTAGACTTATTATCTGTACTAGTTTCCTTGGCAGAGTACAATGCCACCTTACACTGCATTGTCTTCACTGCAGTTTGACTCTCCAACATCCACTGTTGCATGGACACCAAAAGTCTTCTCTGTCAAATCCAGCTGCGTGTGGTTTTCAAACTTAATCATGATTCTCTTGGCCCAGAACAGAATGCAGGGGATGCCATTAACCGTGACGTTGAGAGGGCTGTAATAGCTGTGGGTGGCTGCTTTTTCCCACTGTCCTTTCCTGCTCAAGTTGTAGCTGACAACCTGAATTGACCACATAAAAGATCAGTATCAGAAGATGCATATTTCAGTAGTTACTCTCCATCCTACCAATATAATAAATAAATGAGGCCAGCACTTTGAGAGCATCTGTGGAGCCAGTTCTCAGCTGCACTAGCAATAAACTGAGAAAACAGAGAAATCTCTGGCTAACCTCTTCCCACCACAAGAATGCCACTCTACAGACCTCGAGCTCCAGCACAACTGCCAGAGAGCCAGCAGAAGTTACATTTATTACTAGGGTAGTATCACTGGCGTAAAACACATTCTTATCATGCTCCCATCTCACCCAGCACACCTACAGCTGTCAAATATAAAAAGCGAAGCAAAGCCAGAATCATAAGGTGCTTACCTCAGCAGAGGACTCTCTACAACACCTGGAAAAATTATCTCAACACACTAAAGAGGTCTCAGCTTGGGCCAAGGACACAGCCTAGCATGCAGAAAGCACACTGGGCAGCTGTCCAGATGAAAGAAAATATCCAAGTCTACACCTATTTGCACAGAGTTTGGCTCCTAATGGCTGTAAAATTGGGAAAATGCCTGCTGCAGAAAACAACACTCAAAAAACCAGTCATTTGCAAGATTAAAACCTGGGGATTGCAGTTTCTATGTTATCTGTAGACACTAGAGAAATACTATTTCTTCTAAGCCACATTTCAAAGACAAAGGAGGCCAATCTGGCTGTCAGACAACATATTTTGAGACAGTGAGTTAGGGCTTAGAAAGGACTTCAAAATTTAACCATTTCCATACTTCAAAATAAGCTTTCCAGACACCAGCTTTTTTCCATCTACATATATGTCCTACCCAAATCTGATAACATATAAAATGTCTGCATGTCATATGATTAAGCAAGTACAAATCATGCACAAACAAGAGATGTACTCTCAGTCTCAATAATAAACAGCATCTTACCAGGCTTCAAGAGGCAAGTAGTTAAGCCCCAAAGCTTTGTCTTGATTTCAAGAGAGATTTCTTTTTGTGTTCAGTTTAGGGAATCATGTCTCCCCGCTCAGACCCTGAATGACCCCTTTACGTGTGGCACAAGACTGCTTTATGATTAAATTAGGAAGTACTTACAGCAACAAGCTGAAAGCAAGGTAAGATCATGCACGGCCAGAAAATATGATGAAACATTGACTATGACTATCATTTGTATAAATGATAAAACTGTCTTCTTAGAAGTACAGATGAGACAGACTTGACCAGTAGATTATTTACATGAGATTGCATCACTTACAGGGTTTTTGGTCAGGAAGCCTTTTGTGCTCTGTTTCTGACAAGACCTACTGGCTGGACTCAGGAAAAACTCCCACTAAATTCAAACAATCTGCAGCTTTGCTTCATCTGTTCTTTCAGTACCAAGTGATATAAGCAAAATACTGGCCACAGCAACCAAATGGCATTATACAGAATATGTATGACAGGATTTGGTTCCTTCAGTAAGATCCTGTGCCCAAACCCACTGCCACTCAGCACCAGCAACACCAACTGAAGTCTCAGATGGCTTCTCCAAAAAGCAGATGTCTTGTACACCAGGCTGTGATTCAGCACCATATCACAATGACTGGAACAGTTTTGTTGGCTATTTCTTGTAAACAATGCATTATTTAATTCAATAATGTAAATTAAACTAATGTGCTATGAAAAAAAGTTTACAGATCCAGCCCTTCAAACATTACCTGTGTAACTGACATTTGATTTACATTAAGTTTTGGCTTCACACCACCACCATAATGGCGACCTGTGGAAGAAAATGTGTTATTACCATACAAAAAAAAAAAAAAATCCAATCATTTGTAAAAGCATAATTTTTCAGGTTCCTATGCAAATAATAATTACACCTGTACAAAAATGTGCATTTCAGAACACCTGATTCTGTTGTGGAAAATATGTGGATTGGTGCTTCAACACATGCATCTTCTAGTTTACTTGTACAATAGGATTCCTCTTCTTTTCATTGATCATATTGCCACCCATACTGGGAAGAACTTCAGTGCCCAGAAATGACAGGATTCTGCCTATATATGTATTTATTCATCCCAAATACACTTTACAAAAGCTTCTTCTTTCTTCTCACAGCCAACTATTGACAAAGGGTGTGTATTGAACTACATGGCCAAAGCGTGTTAATTATGGCTGGGAACTTCTTTCCCTGCACTGGCCAGAGACAAGAAACTGACAAATAACCTGATAGCCCGACCTGATAGCCCAACCTGATAGTTCATAGATGACACTTCATTTCATGGACACTCTCACTGCTCCATCCTTCAAACATTTAACTGTTTTCATTTGGTTAAAAAAATAAACAAACAAACAAAATAATAACTTCTTTCTTCTACTTTCTTCTCACTGTATCTGAGAGTCAGTCAGTAACTTACTATTTTAACCAGGCAACACTTTAAAGAGTATTTTTTAAAAATGCATAGGCTTTAACAAAACATCTGTCAGGAAAGTCACTAATGCCAATAGAAGCAACATCTGGGAATGAAGATCTTTTACAGCCACACTAGCAGAACCAGTATCTAGGCATTGAGCACACTCAAAGCCTTACCCTTTCTTTGCGGAGAATCTTGATCTGAAAACACATGTGAACTGGAAGAGAGGAGAAAAACATTAATTGTACAGCATCTGTATTTAAAGTATGCAGCAAGTTTACTGGGGAAAGCTCCTGTTCAATAAAATATTCAAAACATAACTCAGATCCTTGGCTGGTGAATGTCAGAAGAATAGGACAAATTAATCCAAAAGCCAGTGCACCCAGGATAAAAATGCCTCATTTTCAGAAACCCCTAAGGTGGATCAGCCCTGACAGGCATTCCAAATCCCTACCATATTGACTAAAGGCTTCATTACCCCTCTTGTACTATTCATGGGACATCAGCTTTGGGTGAAAGACTGAACCAGTTCCAGCTCACAAGCAGGGGAACACAAGGACAGTGCTGCACCATCCTCAGCTCCCAGTGAGGATCAGAAGCAACACATTGAATTCTTCCAGGACAGAGCAAATGCACTGGGTTAGTATGCCTTCATCCCAGATTTACAGCCATCTCAAGACAGCTCCTGAATGGTTCATAGCAATCCCAAATCCCATGAAGCTGCAAGATGGGGCAGAAAGGATGCACACCTCAAGTGACAACTGCAGGCTCATTAAATTTTCAGCCTTTGATATTCTTTGGTATAACTTCTAAGTCTGCAACTCATTTATGATCTGCTTTCCTGAACTAGAGAATCAAGCCCAGCAGATTCATATAAATCACCCAAAGACCTACAAGATCAAAATCCCAAGAAACAAGGTTCTCCCTTAGGACCACACTCTACTCCCTGAGTTCAGGAACACTTCCAGCCCTCTACAGTGGACTATCTACTGATCTGATGACACATGTCCACTTCTCAAGTCTGCCCTCAGCATTCCCTAGCAGGTGAACACACCAGCACTCACAGCTGATGATCATCCCACAGAGACTCTATAGACCGTGCTACACACAGTGCCTTCTAGGTCAAAAGCAATGGTGGGGCCAGACCTGCCTCACAGCTGCTTCACATGGAAGCACACCTCCCTCTTCTTTCCTTGTTTCTTACCACCTTTCCAACCCACCACAGAAGCAAAATACATGCAAAGTCATACATAAAGCTCAAATACTTCAAAAGTTATACACCAGCATATAAAAACTAGGAATAAAAGCAGCTTTCAGCAATCATGCGTAAAGTGTACCATAAGGTATTTGAAGTGAAGAGTCAAGCCTTGGCCTTGCTGCGGAGCCCTTGCACAGCTGAGTGAACCCACTAACATGGATCTGTGTTACCCACTAGCATGTCCTGACGGAGTTATCCCATCCTAATTTCCAATGTGGCATCCTTAATGGCAGATTAATATGAGTCTGAACAATGTAACACTACCAAAGGAGAAATGTGGGATGGTTCAGAGCCTGTACTGCTTGCTGCCATGCCGTTGCAGTTTGATCACACTGAACGTGTGCTCCAGATTTGTAGGATCCCCAAAGACTCGATACCAAACACAACGTAAACAATCAAATGCTCTAGTCTATTCATTGAGTTATTAGTGCAAAGCAAATATATATAGAATCACAGAATAGTGAGGGTTGGAAAGGACCTTAAGATCATCTAGTTCCAAACCCCTGCTGTGGGCAGGGACACCTCACACTAAACCATGTCACACAAGGCTCTGTCCAGCCTGGCCTTGAATGCTGCCAGGGATGGAGCACTCACAACCTCCCTGGGCAACCTGTTCCAGTGCCTCACCACCCTCACAGGAAAGAACCTTCCTGTTGATGTGAGACCTTCAAGTGGATTGGAGACCTCAGCCCATCACTAACCTTGCTGCCCAAGGGGCAGTCAGAGAAAGTGAGACCCGCTCTTAAAGTGCATAGCCTCCTTGAAGTAACTGGGATTTAACAGTTCCAGCTAAGGAGAAGGTTGGTCTTGCTCTCTGTAAATAAAACTGCCAGACTGCTTTTAAATAGTATTACCAACATTGAACTTTTAAAGATCTTTTTATGGTTCTTTCAGCTCAGATCACAGTCACTGCTGTGGTGCTGTAGAGCCTAGCTGTCTTTTTGTGCTGCGTTATGTTTTCTCTGCAGCCTGTCCGCTGCTTTATTGCCCTGGCTGCTGAAGGGACTGAGCAGCCTTCCAATGGTCTGGAGCAAAGCTGCTCATCAGACCTGTGTTTGGCAGCAAAGTGAGAAGCCGGAGCACAGATTCCACTCCACTTTCATCTGTTGTGCCTTCTGGGTCTGAGAAGTTTGCGAGGGACACAGGAGATCTATTTGTGGCTACAAGGAGTGTCTGCGGAAGGGCAATCTCACCTGAGAGACACTGATTGGAACCTGCTGCCCTTTTAAACTTCAAGTGTAAACAAGATTGCAGGTGAAATAACGGGCTCTGCTGAGGCTGACAACCTTGCTGTGGGTTTCAGGCAGGCCACATTGCGTCAGTGATAATAGATAATGGTCTGTGGTGAAACACACAGAAATAGAAAAGTACTGTTTGGCACGGGCTGTGGGAACATAACCTTGAAAACAGGGGATTAACACTGCCTTCAGCAAAAGGGAGTCTTTTACCAGCTGCATCAAAAGGAGCGTGATCAGCAGGTCGAAGGAGGTGATCCTGCCCCTCTACTCTGCTCTCGTGAGACCTCACCTGGAGTATTGTGTGCAGTTCTGGTGTCCTCAACATAAAAAGGACATGGAACTGAACAAATGCAGAGGAGGGCCACGAGGGTGATCAGGGGACTGGAGCACCTCCTGTATGAAGACAAGCTGAGAAAGTTGGGGCTGTTCAGCCTGGAGAAGAGAAGGCTGCGTGGAGACCTCATAGCAGCCTTCCAGTATCTGAACGGGGCCTATAGGGATGCTGGGGAGGGACCCTTAGAGACTGTAGTGACAGGACAAGGGGTAACGGGTTCAACCTTAAACAGGGGATGTTTACATTAGATAGAAGGAAGAACTTCTTTCCTGTTAGGGTGGTGAGGGACTGGAACAGGTTGCCCAGGGAAGCTGTGAGTGCTCCATCCCTGGCAGCGTTCAAGGCCAGGCTGGACAGAGCCTTGAGTGACATGGTTTAGCGTGAGGTGTCCCTGCCCATGGCAGGGGGTTTGGAACTAGATGATCTTAAGGTCCTTTCCAACCCTAACTATTCTATGATTCTATGAGAGGAAGCTGGTGTAAAATCGTGTAATTCATTTCATTCCCTACTGGACTTCACAGAATTACAGACTGGTTTGGGTTGGAAGGGACCTTAAAGCTCATCCAGTTCCAATCCCCTGCCATGGGCAGGGACACCTTCCACTAAACCAGGTTGCTCCAAGCCCTGTCCAACCTGGCCGTGAACACTGCCAGGGATGAGGCAGCCACAGCTTCTCTGGGCAACCTGTGCTAGTGCCTCAGCACCCTCACAGGGAAGAACTTCTGCCTAAGAGCTCATCTCAGTCTCCCTTCTTCATGTTTAAAGCCATGAAGACTTTATACTGCTCTGGGAAGAGGAAGGGTTATGTTTGTTTTCCTGATTGTCTATTAAAAAAAAAAAAAAAAATCTTTACTTAGTTTTCCATCTGGAATAAGGCCAATACCATGGTTATGCCAATTAAATCACCTTGAGGAATGCTAACTGATAGGCAACATCAAGCCTTCAGGAGAGCATACGATGTATATGTGAGGTATAACTCATTGTGAATGCCCTTGTGGGGTTACATCCTGAGCAGAACGGTTATAACCGGCATCCACAAAGCCCACGAGTGCAGGTGGGAGGCTCGTGACAATGCAGTGTGTCTCCTCCACATCTGTAGTGGTTTAAGCCCAGCCAGTAACTCAGAACCATGCAGCTTCTCACTCACTTTCCCCCTTCTTCCTCCCCCTGTTCCTGGAGGGATGGGGAGGAGAACGGAAAAAATGTAACTCCCACAGGTTGAGATAAGAACAGTCCAGTAACTAAGGTGTAACACAAACCACTACTGCTGCCACCAATAATAATAATGATATGGGAAATAACAAGGGAAGAGAATACAACCGCTCACGACCTGCCAACTGATACCCAGCCTGACCCGAGCAGTGATCTAGCCCTTCTGGATGACTGCCCTCAGTTTATATATTGGGCATGATGTGCTGTGGTATGGAATACCTCTTTGGCTAGTCTGGGTCAGGTGTCCTGACTCTGCTTCCCCTGGCTTCTCCTCCTCCCTGGCAGAGCATGAGACTGAAAAGTCCTTGATCAGGGTAACCATTACTTAGCAAAAACCTAAAACACGGGTGTGTTATCACATTGTTCTCAGACTAAAGCCAAAAGACAGCACTGCACCAGGTACTAGGAAGGAGAAAAATAACAGTTACAGCTGAACCCAGGACACCAATCCATAAATAACCAGCCCAAATACACTCAGATATGTATGTTGTATGTTGAATTTAACCTTCCAAGAATGTCAGGAACCCACCATGAAATTGGATTAGCCCTAATACAAAGCAGTTGGATGACTAATCACTACATAAACCCCAATTAAATAAGATTATAAGTATAAATAAGTGCAAATTCCCTCTTATCAGATGACATTATCCATCTACATAACACAAACAAGTCTGCCTTGTTTGCCTGTAAAAGTTCATGTGGGCTCCAGCCCTTGAAGACTTGCACGTGAGCAGTCTTTAGTCCACTCAGATGAGTAGCATGAATAATCCTGGCACTAAATAGTGATCAAGTGCACTAGATCAATGCTGGGTGCAGAGGCCACAAAGAGTTTCCATGCCAGCAGGTTAAACGAAGCCATATTCACTATCACATTCACATGCCACATTCACACTGTCTTTTACTCTTTATATTGCTGCCCTGACACACTACATCAGATGGCAGAGTGTACTCTACTGCAGTATTTCACTTACTACAGAATTATCACTTTAATACTGTCATTGTCCAGCTGCAGACTACCTCACTGGCTGCTGAACTAGTTTCACTTGATTTATGAACCATTTAATTGGAAAATAACATGCGAATCTTCAAAGGCACTATAAACAAAGTTCTGATGAAAGGTGATGAATGCTCTACCGCTTGCACTCTCTTGGATTCTGATCTGATTGCAAAAAAGTGCGATTATACCAAGACACTAACAAATCTGAAAACTAGCAGAGGAGAACAGCAAGTAAGCTATTTAAATGAAAACATATTGTAGTATTTATCAGTAACTGACTACCAGATCTCTTAATACAAGCTTAAGCAAATCACCACATATCCATCTTGCCTTAAATGCACAGATTTTACTGCCAGCTGTGATTTTCATCGGCATATTTAATCTGTGTGTTATTAGAGACTCTGGGGCACAATTCAACTAATACAGTTTAGGCTGTTTTCACTTTTGTAATGCTAGGCTCTAGAAAATCCTCTTTCCCCTGCTGTAATTTGGCCTTCCTATCTATGTATCATTACAGAATGAAATAGCATTATAAACAATGTTAAATCCAAATCTCTAGTAATTTTATAAGTTAAATACTTTTGTGAAATATTGAACTCATGCCTCAAGTATTCATTCTACACAAGAATAAGATTTTAGCACCTATCTTTCTTGGAAAGTTTTCACACCCTTGTTATTATTCTATTTATAACTCCTTTTTTACACAGTCCACTGCAAGTCAGTGTGAGAGTCATTAAAATGAAATTATATATAAGACAGACGCCCATAAAACACTAATTTTCAAACCATTTATAGTATTTTTTATAAAATTATTTTATAGTTACACTTCCAATGTACTGTATGCTTCAAAATAATTAATTTCTGTATTAGCCCCAGGTGTTTTCAAACCTGAAAATAAAGTTAAAACCATGTCCTGACATCCTAAACTGTGATCAAATCTGCTCACACACAGCACAAATTACAACATTTAAATCATGTGTTCCACTCCACCAACAGTTTGATACAGACTCAATTACTGACCTGCCATTCATTTCATCCTCAGACACCGCAAATCCCATGTACAAAACAAGCAGGAGGATCCTAAGGGCAGCGTTTCTTTCCATGGAGAAGAGACCCAGAACCACCAGACCCAGCACATCTGCTCTTCTGGTCCAGCACCCACGCTCTGTCTGGCAGCATGACGGGCAGCAGATACAGCCAATCCAGGGAGCGATTCATCACTCCATCACTGCACCGGTACCCACCAGAGAAATCGTTCATGTGCTCGTATTTGTCCTGATGCAGACACCTACTGACGGCTCCTTCCAGCTTCCTTGTGAATTCCACTTTACATGTTCTGAGCTGCTTGCTAAGGGAAAAAGAAATAAAATCAGATGGTCTCTCCAGGTTATAAAATCACACTGAAGAGCACTTCTTATCTGTACTCAAACCTAACCTTAACAAAAGGTGAAGGCTTCCAAACCACTCTGAAATTTCTCCTTCCATATATAACCAGACAAAGAATTACATGCATTTTGAAGTCTTGTAATGCTTTCAGAGTAACAGTATTACCTTCATTTTACAGAAGTCAAAGATTTGGAAGCATTCCTTTCTTCATCACTAACTCAGTTTGCATGTGACCTGCTTTCAAGCTCTAATGTTTTATACCTACAGATAACTCTAAGCAGACCACAGTTGTGAAAAGCCCACAGAATTACAGTGCCCTGGTTCGGACTGTCAGAACAAGACACCGAGGTGCATTCACACCACTGTGAATATGGCAGGTTTTGTGTGGGATGGGTCATTCTCAAGAGAGGTGGGTCACAGGCACCAGTATTCAGGTGTGCTCATATATGTATATACCTATCTATGTACACAAATACTCTCACGCCTTTCCTGCTCCCATGGCTTTCCTGCTCAGCAGCTAACGTCAGGTCTCTGATGATGTGATCACACAGTAAGCCCTGCTTCACTGACTTAGAGCTCCTGTGTGTTGCATTCCAGACATAAGATAAAGACAGGGGCTTTAGCATCATAACTATTAAAAGGGATTTACAATCTTAATTCATTTCTCCTTCAGTGATACAGAGAGTATTCACTAATCTCAATAATCTCCAAACAGCTTGTCCTTAGTAGTACTGATCCTATCCAATTTAAGGAGGAATCCAGATACTTACATGAGAATTCCAGCTTGAAAAATGAGATAAGGAAATGTAGAGACAACCAAGTGTGGGAAAATCACTCTTGTGGGGGCGGAATTAGAGAAAGCTGGGGTCTAACAGAGGTTGCAGTATTAGAGAAACCTTTTTCAGGTAAAATAAGGTTGCCACTTTCAGGACAGCTGGAATGCATGGAATCTGCTCCACCACGGTTCCCCGGGCCATGCAACCTGCTATCCCAGCGGAGCAATGGAGGGTGGAGCGGAGTGGAGACACCGCGGCCAGGCTCTGTTGTACTCCCTGCAGGACTGGGAACCTGATGGTACCGTGCAGGTGACAAGCCACATAGCAGCTGTCAAATGAGAAATACAGGAGAAGATGTCCATTGCTGAGCCAACAACTGTGGCTAAATCACTTCTCTTGGGGGAGCCTTGCTCATTATAATCTCGTTACAATACTAACTCACACCTCCAACCCAGAGTTACCGCCTCCAAGGTACGACCATCCCTGGCTGAGCATGCGCTTTGTATTTTTTATTGGCTGTACCTTTAAATGAGAAGCGAGAGATTTTTACACCAATCAATAATAAAAGAATGTATGACTGGAGTCACCCAAGCTCCACCTGAGAGCTTAGAAAAGTATAAAAGTGAATGAGAGAGAAGGGCAGATAGAGAAGACTCCATCCTAACTTCTGGGATCACTCGATGGTCTGAACCTGTCTTCTCCCCCATAGGGAGGCCTATTGGGTAAGAATTTCATCTTATGCGCACTATCTAGTAACTCATGCCAGATCATATTGTAAATCACTTCAAGCTTGTTTTTGCAGACAGTCCCTATCACTGGCAATCACAAACCTTATTTTCTTACAATTTTATATTAAAAAATAAAAATTAGTTTTTATTATTAATAAATAATAGAAATTATCTATATATAATATATAATAAAATATATAGGTTATTAAATAAATTTATATTGACAAATAAAATTATTAATAAATTGATTAAAAAAAACATTAATTTGATATTAATAAAAAGTGTTATTCCATAAACTGTCAGTGTCAGTCCTTCATGGACACCAGCAGCGGCTGGCAGTGGATAACACATTCAGATAAAGTGGGAAGACCTGCTGAGGGGTCCTGCTTATGCTGCTGGTGTCTTTACCTGAACAAGTCAGTCACATTGCTCTCCAATCCAGCAGGATGGTTTGGTGAAGGATCCTGTCATGGTTACCCAGACGGTAACTCAGAACCACGCAGCTGCTTGCTCACTCCCCCGTGATCCCCTTGCTCCCAGAGGGATGGGGAGGAGAACAGTCCAGTAACTAAGGTATGACACAAACCACTACTGCTACCACCAATAATAATAATGATAAGGGAAATAACAAGGGAAGAGAATACAACCGCTCACCACCCGCCGACTGACTCCAAGCCCACTGATACCCAGTTCGACCTGAGTAGCAGTCTGGGCCTTCCAGCTAACTCCCCGCAGGTGGAGTGGCTGCAGTGCCTGTTGTCAGGTTTGGTGTAGCTGCTGTGCTTGGAGTTGGAGTGCTGCATTGTCTGTTGTGGTCAGGGTTTGAGCTGTTGCTGTGCTTGTCACTGGGGCTGGTGTAGCTGCTGTGCTAAGAATTGGAGTAGCTGCGTTGTCTGTTATGGTCGGGTTTGACCAGCTGCTGTGCTTGTCACTGGGGCTGATGTAGCTGCTGTGCTTTGGGTTTGAGTAGCTGCGTTGTCTGATGCTTTGCCAGCAGATCGAGGGACATCTTTTTCCTGCTCCTTACAGAACAGGGCCCTATAGGTGTAGGACAAGCCCCAGCACATTGCAGTGAGTTGCCCCTCTCTGGTATTGCCAGGATGACAGCATACCTCATCTAAGTGTGCTAATTTTTCCGGATTACACATTTGTTCAGAAGTGAAATTCCAAACTGGCTTAAGTCTTTGCCCATACTGCCCCACACACCCTCATGACTGTCCAGCCTCAGGGAAGATCTCTTGGTAGTATTCTTAAACAGTTGTTTAACCCTAGACAAGACCTCAGTCGGACCCTGCTTAACTTTCCAGATCCGACAAGATCAGGCTTTCTAAGGGTGGTCGCACTGCAAGCAAAATACAGAGATCATATTCAGCAACAAGCTGGTTTCCAGCAAAAGGAGCAGGGTGCTTTCAAGAGCATTCAAAGGATATTCAGATCTGCTTATCACAGATACGACTAGACACACTCTGGTCAGATCTGTCATTATCTCAACCCTTCGTGCCCCACGTTCTGTGTCACAAAGAACTGTCATGGTTCAAGCCCAGCCAGTAACTCAGAACTACACAGCCTCTCACTCACTTCCTCCCTTCTCCCTTCCCCTGCTCCCAGAGGGATGGGAAAGAGAATTGGAAGAATGTAACTCCCATGGGTTGAGATAAGAACAGTCCAGTAACTAAGGTATAACGCAAAACCACTGCTGCTGCCACCAATAATGATAATGATAAGGGAAATAACAAGGGAAAAGAATACAACCGCTTACCACCCGCTGACCAATACCCAGCCAGACCTGAGCAGTGATCTGAGCCTTCCGGGTAACTGCCCCCCAGTTTATACACTGGGCATGATGTACTGTGGTATGGAATACCCCTTGGATAGTTTGGGTTAGGTGTCCTGTCTCTGCTCCCTCACAGCTTCTTGTGCCCCTCCTCACTGGCAGACCATGAGGATGAACAGTCCTTGGTCAGACTAAACATTACTGAGCAACAACTAAAAACATCGGTGTTATCAGCGCTGTTCCCAGGCTGAAAGTCAAAAACACAGCACAGCACCAGCTACTAAGAAGGAGAAAAATGACTGCTACTGCTGAACCCAGGATAGGTCCCTGTAATGGAACACCTGTTATACTCCTTGTATATACTCCAGGACTCCTTGCTGCCCCTCTGATACAGGTGTTCCTTCAGCCAAACCAGTGCTCTTGTAATTCCCTAAAGAGGAGATTTGAGCATTAGGAGACCTCAGCCACTGGTGATACATGACTGGAGATGCATGGATTTAGACATGCCTTCATTTTAGAGTACTTGCCAATCCACAAGTCATGTCAGATGGAGCACAGCCTCTAAGACAAGGCAAGTGGCCTGGGAAATTCATTCGAATAAGAATACAGTAAATATTTGCCATTTTAATGTGTGTGCTGGGCTGCACCAAACCAAGAAGTTCCAGCAGGTCAAGGGTGGGGGGGGGGGGTGTGTGGAGGTGGATTCTCCCATCTGCTATGCTCTAGGGAAATCCCTCCTGCAGTCCTGATCCATCTCTGAGGCAACAACACAAGGGGGAAGTGGAGCGGCTGGAGGGAGTCCAGAGGAGGCCATGGAGATGCTGCAAGGCTGGAGCAGCTCTGCTCTGGAGACAGGCTGAGAGAGCTGGGCTGGTTCAGCCTGGGGAAGAGAAGGATCCTTAAGGGGAGACCTTAGAGCAGTTGCCAGCACCTGAAGAGGCTACAAGAAACCTGGAGAGGGGCTTTGGACAAGGGCCTGTAGGGACAGGACAAGGGGAATGGCTTTAACCTGACAGAGGAGAGACTGAGATGAGCTCTTTGGCAGAAGTTCTTCCCTGTGGAGGGTGGTGAGGCCCTGGCACAGTCTGCTCAGAGAAGTTATGGCTGCCCCCTCCCTGGCAGTGCTCAAGGCCAGGTTGCACAGGGCTTGGAGCAACCTGGTCTAGTGGAAGGTGTCCCTGTCTGTGGCAGGGGGTTGGAACTGGATGAGCTTTAGGATCCCTTTCAACCCAAACAAGTCTGAGATTCTGTGATTCCCTTATACTCCTTGCACCCTTCATAACAAGCCCAAAGGATGCCATCCTACCCTGAGAAATCTTCATACAGACTCCAGGCACTACTTCAAATGTTCTGGATGGAGACTGGACCAAGAATGAAGTTTCTTTCCCTGTACGTGCTCATAAACCATGCAGACGCTCTCAGGGACATGGATTAGTGGTGGACTTGGCAATCCTGGGGAAATGGCTGAACTTAACGATTTAAAGGTCCTTTCCACCCTAACTGATTCTATGATTCTGATTCCTGGTCTACCTTTAGGGACAAAAAACCCCACCAAAACAAAACAAACCAAACAAAACCCGCAGCCTCCATTACACAGTAGATCTACCACTGTGGAGGAGGTCCCAACACTGGTGTGTGTTCATTCCCCTGGAGAATGTGGCAGCCAGGG